TGAGCCTGCAGCGGGCGAAGAGGTTGAAAGCCGCAAGGATCATGATGCAGAAGGAGACGCAGAGGCGCAAATCGAAAAAGATGAGCCTGCAGCGGGCGAGGAGGTTGAAAGCGACAAGGGTCGTGACACAGAAGGACATGCAGAGGAACAAAGTGATCAAGATGAGCCTGCAGCGGGCGAAGATGTTGAAAGCGACAAGGATCATGACGCAGAAGGAGACGCAAAGACGCAAATCGAAAAAGATGAGCCTGCAGCGGGCGAGGAGGTTGAAAGCCACAAGGTTCGTGATGCAGAAGGAGATGCAGAGGCCCAAATCGAAAAAGATGAGCCTGCAGCGGGCGAAGAGGTTGAAAGCCACAAGGATCGTGATGCAGAAGGAGATGCAGAGGCACCAAGCGAGAAAGATGAGCCTGCAGCGGGGGAAGAGGTTGAAAGCCACAAGGATCGTGATGCAGACGGAGACGCAGAGGCGCAAATCGAAAAAGATGAGCCTGCAGCAGGCGAGGAGGTTGAAAGCGACAAGGATCGTGACACAGATGGAGATGCAGAGGAACAAAGCGAGAAAGATGAGCCTGCAGCGGGCGAAGAGGTTGAAAGCCACAAGGATCCTGACGCAGAAGGAGATGCAGAGGCACCAAGCGACAAGGATGAGCCTGCAGCGGGCGAAGAGGTTGAAAGCCACAAGGATCCTGACGCAGAAGGAGATGCAGAGGCACCAAGCGAGAAAGATGAGCCTGCAGCGGGCGAAGAGGTTGAAAGCCGCAAGGATCATGATGCAGAAGGAGACGCAGACGCGAAAATCGAAAAAGATGAGCCTGCAGCGGGCGAAGAGGTTGAAAGCCACAAGGCTCGTGATGCAGAAGGAGATGCAGATGCGCAAATCGAGAAAGATGAGCCTGCAGTGGTCGAAGAGTTTGAAAACCACAAGGATAGCGAAGCTGATAATCCAAGAGCTCAGTCACATCAGGAGCTCGAACAGTCGAAACTCGATGCTGCTGCCGGGGATGCTGCGGATGTAGCAGACACCTCCCATGCGGGACAAGATGGCGAAAAGGCGCTTGCTTCATCAGCGGGAGCAGCGAGCGATGTCGCTGGCGCTCTTCCAGCCCGACCACTCGAGGCACACGAAGCGCCGCACAGGTTTGCTGAGAGCCCTCGCGAACCAGCTGGCCGAGACGAGCGGGACGGGAGACCTTCCGCACCGTCGCCCGCCAGGACACGGGTGCCCAAAGCAGCACCACCGCCAGTGCCAGCACCGGCGCGGGCGCGGCCGCCACCAGCAGCTTCAAATGACTCGGACTCAGACGACTGAGCCAAGGGCCAAGTCTTGTCACTTGTCCGGCATTGTGCGGTGCCAGAGGGTTCTCGAACGAGACTACATCGACTCGTGAGGGTGCAAGGTATCGCCGTCGACCACGGTTGGACGGCGACTTGCCCTGCGACACAACACGGGCCCGGGCACTTTTGGCATGTTCTCGGCACGGGGGCGCGGACCAGAGTACCAGAGAAGAGCAAGGCCAAGGAAGGCACATGGTCGCATGATCACATGAGCACGTGGCGCGTCGTGAGCAGCGAGCTTCTGAGCCTCCAGCGTCACTGCGCCTTCCAACAAATAAAGTCTGAAGGCTGCAGAAGTGGCCCTGCCCCAAAGGCCTGTGGCACCTGTGCCGTCAAATCGCCAGGTTGCTCCATGCAGCTCTCGGCAGCAATCCTCTTGCACGATGTCAGAGCTGTCAGTATAGTATAGTATAGAATAATTGACAGCTTCGTTTTGATGGGCAGCATCCACTGCGTGCAAACCGCGCTGTCGTGGCGAACGGGTGCCTCAACAAGTACGGCATGCAGGTGTAGGTGTCTTGCAAATTTACACTTCCAAGCTGGCTACCCCCAGCCAAGTCCATTGGCCAATAAGCCAGAGACACTTGTGCGCCGCTCCTCGACATGTGGCTCAGACGGGTCTAGACCACAAGACAGGATTCGAAGATGTGGTCCATTCAAAAATAGGATCAGAAGGAGTCACAGCAGTTTGTCACGGCTCATCACCTAGGCTGCATGGTCCCCGTGGGTGCATTGCAATAGCATGGCATATGCATAGATGTCCCAACGATTCCGGAAGGTAATCGACTCAATGGAAGCTGTAACGGTGGATGTCGAGGTGCAGGTGCACTGCTCCATGGCTTCCCTCCACCACGTCGATGATGTAGATCGCTTGGGCGAATGCTTGGGCTTTCGTCCAAGGTGCAGTGCGGGGTTGTGGCAGCGATGCACACGCCGCCCTGACTGAGGCTGCGCTCGATGCCTGAGAATGACCGATGCTGACGATGGGGCTCAGGACTCTTTCGAGCGTTGCAAACAACAGGAAGGCATCTTTGCAGGGCAGTTTGCGATCCTCTTGCGTGGGCTTTGGTTTGCCTACTTTCCACTGTTTCCCGACCTCTAGGGGAGGCCGGATTGGAACCAAGTGCGACAGATGCCCAGGAGATCGGAAGGGCTTTGCGCGAACAAGGCTGGCACAAGCTGTCGTTGAAGCAGTTCGGAGTTGCTTGCCAGTCAGTCTCCATAGATGTTGGAGCAGACTGCAGACCTGACCTGCTATGTTCCAAGAGCCAGGTTCACTGCTTCGGCTTTGGAATGCAAGCATGGCTTTCCCGATTGTTTCTCTCCAGCAACCATTAGAATCAGAGCTGGGCCCAATATTCCACATATTTTCATCAGGCCAGTTCGGAAATTTGACAGACATGTTGCATACGCGCGTAATTGCACGACATATATGTCACGCATTCTTTTCGTTGCATGAATCAACCATACGCAGTATGAAGAGAGACAGAAGACATTATGCGATCAGCACCTACACCAGAATGCCAGCGCAGACCGCAAACAGTGAAAGTGAACCTTGCAGTGGGAGCCCTACATGCCCGGGAGCCATTCCACGAGTGGTTGGCACCCCATAACACCGTGGCAAGCACCCGAGAGTCGGGCTCTGGCGCGAGGCTATGTGTTCACAGAGCTTCATCTTTAGGTATCCAGAGCGGAACAAGCTTAAGCCTGGTTGACCCCAACAGCGTTCTCCCACATGACGGATCGCTAGCCTAGCGAGACAACTCTTCCACAAACCACCTTGTAGATCATGGCTCCGCATGACCTGTGTGTGGTACGTGTCCACATGCACACAGAGAGCGCAAACATGCGTATGCTATATATATATATATATGGTAACCCCCCCCCCCCGGACCAACCTCCGCCATGAAACGGATC